TAGGCAACAAACCAAACATAATTACTAAAACCCGTTGCACAAAAGATGGCTATCGTGACGCAAGTGGTCTAGTGGATAACGCTTTGGCATTTGAAACGATTGGAACTGGGTTCGAACCTCAGTGGGTACACCATCGCTAACTGGGGAATGCAGGTACATCCAGATGACGAGTCCCGAATGGGATGAAATGCAAATCCTCGATTCCGCTGCCAGTCAATCACCATTCACCAATTAATAGACTTCGAGAAAACAGACTTCAGTTTAAACAAAAATAACTGGCTAGGCATTTAAAAAAATTGAATATGATTATCATTTATAAGTTTACGTGAGTGTAATTCCCAATATGTGGAGGTAAATATGATTATTGATTTTCTTTTAAAGTGACATGGAATCAAACAAGTAACGACCTTGATGTCACGTCAAATCTATTTCCTGTCACAATACAATCACAATATATCCAGATATAGATAACCGGGATTATGAATTAACCGGTTGTCGATAAAATCTTACTAGGGAAGAAAATAGGACTACCTTTCATAAAATACGAAAGATAAGTAATCCAAACTGGCCATTGAATCAGTTCTGAAGAAAACCATTTTCATGAATTTGGAAACTAAAGGTTATCAGGCTTCAGATATGCTCAGATATCGTCTCACTGAATCGGACAGTAAAGTGTTCTTTGCTGGAAAATTACAAACGACTGTCACCAGCCGTAAGTGATTCTCCATCTGTGTAAAAGATAAACTCCGTCATCTAGCCACCTACATGTGCATCTAACAGTTCTGCTCTTGTGCTGCAAGGTACATAAGTAGTAGCCAGAGAATGCTTTCCATACGGATATGAGAATATATTCCAGCATGGTTTTACAAGGGAGAAAGGAAGGGTGTACTAAGGTCCACTCTATTTTGGAACAGTAGATCGACTTCTGTCCCTCTACCAACCCGTGCATTGATTTTAAGATTATCTATCGAATTCACGTTAACTTGCCACTTTTTCTGAACTCTAATCTTTGAAAGGCAATGGAGGCCCCGACCATTCATGAATTCAAGTCAGATTGTTGTGTACAACAGAAGTATGTTCAATACCCATTTCTGTTTTGACCACGGAGGGATGAACATTTTTTAAAATTTTGTTTATTTAGTTAATCTATGTACTTTTCCCTCATAACTACAATTATTATTATTGTTACCATTATTATTATTGTTCCAACATTGAATTGTCCCACTTGTCAATCTAAATCAAAACTGTTTTGCAATGTTGAATTCTGTTCTATCGGATTTCACATCATGTTATGTGACATTTTATTTACCTACTTATCCTGTGATTATGCACACCCTACCTAACATCTACACATCCTATGAACTGTTCTGTATAAGACATTACTTGTTTCCCTACTTGATATTTAACTATGATTATAATCATAAAAATTCGACCGGAACAGGCTGGATTCGGGAAGGATAAGTCACGCATCGATCAAATCGCAACACTACGTATCATCATTGAACAGAGCTTGGAATGGCAATCCCATCTCTACATGAAATTCATCGACTTTGAAAAGGTCTTCCATAACGCAGCGTCGATTGAGAGGTGATTTGGCAACTACTTCGATTCTACAGGGTGCCGCCAACAATTATACATCTCATCCAACAGTTGTACGACAATGCTGCATGCCAAGTAATTCACACAAAACGGAAACTCACAGGATCCTTCGAAGAAGTGAAGACGGGAGTAAGACAAAACTAACTGGCTGCCTACTATCTCCAATGATCAAGCTGATTGCGGTTGACTGGATAAAGCGACAGACAGTGGCGGGCAGCGAGGAGACAGGCATAAAATGGACCCACACAAAATATTTGGAGGATCTGGACTTCGCCGATGATATTTGCCTGATTTTTCACAAACTGGAAGATATGCGAATGAATAGCAACAAGTTAGCAGAAGAAGCATCAAGAGATGATAGGACTTCAGGTGAGCATAGAGAAAACAGAGGTGATGAAAACTCCTGGCCAACAGCAACAGCAACAGACAAGAATCAACATAAATGGGAGGAATATGAAAGAAGCATCCTCCTTTACCTACCGACCTCGGAAGCATCAATGCAACTACAGGCAGAACTGATGAGAATATCAAAGCGAGGATCGCCAAAGCAAGGAAAGCTTTTATTTTTCTCAAGTCTGTGTGGAGGTCAACAACACTCAGCATCAAAAATAACATCCGGATTTTCAACTCTAATGTGAAATCAGTGCTACACTACAGGGATCAGAGACTTGGCGCCGCGCCACGTTACTAAGACCACTTTGAACAAACTACAGACTTTCATAAACAGCTAGCTGTCTTCGCTCAGTACTACTTAAGATCAGATGGCCGGCCAGAACAGATCAGCGACATGGAGCGATCACTGGCAATGAATGAACCAAGCAACCCAGCAGGAACCGAATGTGCAATAAATATGCAGGAAGAAATGGAGGTGGTGGATTGGCCACACTCTGAGAAAACAAACCATCAAGTGACATTGCACACCAGGCTGTCTCTCTTTCTCTTGAGTGGGACCCCAATGGAAAGCGGCGAGTTAGTTGGTCATCAGTGCGAGGGTGACATGGAGAAGGAAGTCATGTGAAGAGGAGATGAAAGTATGTGGACAGACGTGGCGCCAGGTGAAAACGTTGGCAGAGAAACAAAAGCAATAGAGGCATGCATCTGAATCCCTATGTTCCTCTAGGAACTAAAGGAAACAATAGGTAATAATAATAAGGATATAGGGACTGACTAAACAGGGAAATATGATTTTGCATATGAATTAGGAGTTAAAGTAGAGTACCACACATTAGTGGTTATTAGTCTGTCATGTTTTCCCGTTCAGATTTACAGAAATCTATTAACTGATTAAGAATGCCGCCCAATAAAATTTTTCCTCTCAAAAGAATGGTTGTTGAACAAAGAATATTCTTTTCGATAAACTGCTCTTCATAACGTTCTACAGTTATATATACATAATAGTGAATGAACTAGTGTTATGAACAAAATTAATGTTGTTTAAATAACATCGAATCACGAATTAATATCAACGTAGAATCAACAGGTTCTTAGTTGGTTCCTTCCGAGAGTTTCTTGTTGCCTATCCTTTCCCGCCGGCTATCTGATCTTCAATATGGAGCCAGCGAAGTCAGTTGTTGATAGAAGTCTGCAGTAGACTATTTATTGGAGATGCTGTTCGTAAAGCACTAACCAAGTATCTCATCCATAGGGAAGAATTGACTGACTTAACATTGGTGTTGAAATACTGGAAATCAAAAGCTGACTTCGCCGGCTCCATACTGAAGATCAGATGGAAGGCGGGAAAGGGTAAGCAACAAGAAACTCTCGGGACAGACCAAGCAAGAACTTACATTACTCAACAAATATGTAGGAGTAAATGGAGATGGATCGAAAATACCCTGAGGAGACCATTGGATGAGATCGCGTGTCAGGTATTCGTTAGAGTGGAACCAAAATGGGTAACGACAATTTCAGCGTGTCCGGAGGTAACATGGAGGAGATCGTGTCAGCAGGAGACAAAATCTTATGAGTAATTCCATATTAGTTTGTTTATTAGATGTATCACACAGTCACAGAAACAGTATTATTTACTGGATGACACAGTTTCGAACAAAATTTATTGTTCATAATCATATCAATTGGAATCACACGACTTGGAAACTTGAGTTTTATAGTTTTCTTTGTCTTCTCCTATTTGTCGTCGTTGGAGCTCCCAATGTTAGATTGTAGCGTAAAAAGGAAACAACATGGGAAGTTAAACACTAGTGTTTACAGAAAACCCACACACTCAAACAGATATTTGGATTTCCGATCATCCCATCCTATGTCAGTAAAGGTAGGATTGGTGAAATGTTTAAATGACAGAGCACAAAATCTAAGTAGTACCAAAGAAAATCTAAAACAGGAACTGATACACATAAAAGAAGCTTTGAAACTGAATAATTACCCGGATAAATTAATCAGGAAATATGTAAGGAAATGTAAAAATAAAATAAATAATGATAGTAGAGATAGTGATAATAATAATGATAATACTAATAGTAATTATAATAATATTAATGACCACACCAACAATAAGGAATCTAAATCATCAGTAGTAATTCCAGACAAGGAAGGAACCTCGGAAGCCTTACGCAGAATTCTTAACAAGGCAGGAATAAAAACGGCTGGCATTCAAACCCACAAACTCAATTAGAAACAAGCTTTGTCGGTTAAAGCATCATTTCTGTGGAGCCAACTATACAAAAGAATTTAGTTTATCTAATACCCTGCAATGATTGTGAGGTCAAATACATAGGTAAAAGTAGTAGAACAGAGTCAGTCAGTCAGACTAGCCGAGCATAAAAACTTAGCAAAATCTAGATTGGTTGATCCGAATAAGATAAGAAATCTAGAGAATAGTTCAGCTGTAGCACTACATGCAGTCACACACAACCATACAATAGGATGGGATAGGATGATAGTTTTAAAGTCTAATGTCAGAGGGTGGAGGGAGAGATTGATAACAGAAGCTTTGTTTATCGAATCAACTGAAAATACATGTAATAGGAATGATTCAACACCTGTCCACCCAGATATCTGGAAAATTCTACTCCCCCAACGACGGCAAATAGGAGGGAACAAAGAAAACTATAAAACTCAAGTGTCAAAGTCGTGTGATTACAATTGATATGATTATGAACAACAAATAAATTTTGTTCGAAACTGTGTCATCCAGTAAATAATACTGTTTCTGTGACTGTGTGATACATCTAATAAACAAACTAATATGGAATTACTAACTACCACAGTGCCCAAGTTTTACATGTATATTAAAAGCTTATGAGCAATCGTGGGGCAAGCTAAAGAGGACTGGAGAGAACAGGACAAAGTGGAGACTTGTCGTTGAAGCCGTATGTTCCACTCAGAACCCAAAGGAATAATAATAATAGTAATTATGATAATATATGCTCACAATCTCTTACTCTGTAAATCTGCACGGACAACTTTAAGCTCCTTTTCTAAACTAATTAACTTTTCTTCTGACATTCCATTTGATTTTACCGCTTCATCAGCTTGAAGTTTTAGATGATCACAGTTTTCTTGAAGCGCTTTATTCGCCTTGTGTAATTCTGATAATTCATTAGTTAAACGGCTCTGAATAAAAGAAAAAGGAACAGCAAGAAGAGTAAAGTTAACAGTGAGATTACAATCTGCATTGTATGAAAATGACTAAATTTATTAAAACATTTATGAACTAAGCATTATTATTACTTATAAACGAAGTAAACGGAATGTACCTTTAAAGTTAATATGTGAACAGCCAATCACACTCGGTCGGTCGGTCGGTTTTCGACATAGAACTTTGCACATATGTGCAGCAGTTCAAGTCGCCACACTCCATGTAGCACACAAAGCAAGAGAAGAAAGTAGAAGAAATGCATAATATAGTCAGTAAACAGAGATGTGAGACAAAGGAATAGTAATAACGAAGAACAAAACAGTTTAATTGGAAATCATAAGTCACAAGGAGTGGATGCATCTGCGCCAGTCATTGAGAACGATTTTGAGCCATGTCACCAACTGTTTCCAACCATTGGTTTTTACCGTCCCGAGGACCCCAACCAGGAAGTCTACATCTTCCTACGTGGCTTAGACTAACTGTTGTAGATTTCATTGACTGGTGCCATGTTTTGGTTTGACCGCCACTAGCTCTTTTCCAGCCTTGCCCTATATCAGCTAACATTGCCCATTGTCGAGGAAGGCGATGACTAGGCATACGTAACACATGTCCTAACCATCTCAATCGATGTAATTTCACAGTTTCGTCGATTGATTTCCACGCCTTACCTAGCACTCGACCGAAGCCTAACCTCAATATTGCTCACCTTATTATACCACCACTTCACGCGGGAGATAGAACGCAGACACTTATGATCGAAGACAGCAAATCATTTAATGTCTTCTGCTCTCAATGGCCAGGTCTCACAGCCATAAAGGAGGACGGAGCGGACTGTTGAGCAGTACACACGCCCTTTGGTCGATAGTCGGATATCACGTCTACGCCAGAGACGGCGTAAACTGGCATATGCGAAACTAGCCCTCTGTATTCGTGCTGAGATTTCGTCGGAGATCAACCCGTTGGGGCTGATGGTACTTCCCAAGTAAGTGAAGCGATCAACGTGCTCTAAAAATCACACTACACATAAGTAGTACTATTTTATTATTATTATTATTATTTTTCCCTTGAGTTCCAAGTGGAACAATAGGGCTTCAACAGCACATCTTCAGTTCACACTGTTCTCCGAGGTTCGCTTCAGCTGGCCCCGTGATTGCTCATAGGCCCACGTCTCCTACTCACACGATCACCTCTATTCCATAATGGACAAGATTTTATTTTGATAAAGTGTCACACAGTGTTGTTGTACAGTAATATTAACTGATGACCATGTTTCGAGCACAATCTATCACTGCTCATAATCATATCAAGTCACTCACACAACCTTCTTGCTTCATCTATATACATGAGTAGAATTGATGATTAGACATTTGAATAAAAATCAATCAACGTAGGACAACGTACATTCAGAAATAATAATATGAGTGTTACTGATCAAATACAATCACATGAGAAATAAGATGAGTGTTTTTATAGTCAAAATAAATAAGTAACTTGTGAGAATGTTATGATGTACTTGAAGTGAATTGAAATAGAATTTCAAGATTATTTATTATCCTCCTCTGATTTGACTGACTGACTGGTGGTAATAATATCTTCCATGCATATCTCTGGTATTTGCATTGAGTCATTTCTGTTGCATGTGTTGTGTTGGTTGTAGACTCGATGAACAAGGGTTAACACACAACCACACAATAGGGTGGGTGGGAGAGGGTTAAAATTCTAAAAAGTAATCTATGTAGGTGGAGACAGAGATTGATTACTGAATCCTGCCTGGTTCATCGAGTCTACACCCAACACATGCGACAGAAATGACTCAATGCCAGAGATATGGAAGACATTATTACCACCAGTCAGTGAAGTCAGTGCTACTATACGGATAAGAGACTTGGCACCGAGTCACGAAGGCCACTTCGAACAAACTACAGACCTTCATCAACGGCTGTCTTCGCTCAATACTCAAGATCAGATGGCCGGCCAGAAAAGATCAACAACAGTGATCTCTGAGAGCAAACCAACCAGGAACCGATGGTGAAACAAATAAACAGGAAGAAATGGATTTGGATTGACCATACTCTGAGAAAACAAACCATCAAGTGGCATCACTAGACAATCCCTCGAGTGGAACCCGGATGGGAAGCGGCGAGTTGGTCGTCGAAGGGTGACATGCAGGAGGTCATGTGAAGAGGATATGAAAGCATGTGGGAAGACCTGGAGCCAGGTGAAAACTTTAGCAGAGAACCGAACGCAATGGAGACGTGCGGCTGAAGCCCTATGTTCTTTTAGGAATTAAAGCAAATAATAATAATGATAATGTACACTATTATTAGCGTTATTGTTAGCAGAGAAGCAACGTCTTCTCATTAGTTGTTTTCTTGCTGAAGGTTATTCTGTACTGCTTGTGACCGTCTCTTAGAAAGTTAAGCCACATATCTGCGAATCATATACTACCGCGTAAAGTCTGCTGTGACTGTTTGTCGAGTCAGTCTTTGTTCTTGTTTTTTTCTCATGACCAAGATCTGGGACGTAAACTGATGTCTACCAATTTTGGCTAGTAGACAGCTCTCACCACAATATCAGCTAATATTACTGTATAAAATTGTGTGATAAATTAAAAGAAAATCTTATCTATAATGGAATTCCTTCCTGATTCAGGTTTTTTCTCCTACCGCTGCAATCACCACTGTATTGCGTCAAAATCAATTCGAACCACTACACGTTCATGCAAAATTCCTCATTCTTTTTCGTACACTAAAGCCAACAGAAGAATTTTTAAAACCAGCAGTTCCTAAAATTGTGATAACCAGTTATATCACGGATTATTATTTCATCCTTTACCTACCCTGGAATTCATCACAACCTAGGGATTACTGATACAATCATTTTGGAGGAACTCTGATAAAAAACAAGAATTTAAACCCATGACTCACTAGGTGTGAAGTTGAAGCTTTTTAATTTACTTTGCATTTCCCGTTGACTGCTTATTTCGAGCCAAAATGCTCGAACTCTTCTGACATGCCGGCTCCTAGTACGAACTCTTCGACGATATCTGAAGATTAAAATGATGTTATCTCGACTGGGGACAACTGACAGTAGAATCTAGGATGCACACTTCTTCCTAAATGAGATTCGTCAGTTGGATGTACCTGCCCCCCCTGGTGACAGGTACTTGAAACGACCGTTACGGAATTCGAATCTCAATGGAAACACCATCTCTCACTGCAGCAGCAGGTACATCCAGCTCCTCAGTGTCATACAGGACGAAATGCACATTCTGGACTCCACTGCTACTGATCATCAACCGAAATAAGGTAACTAGCGTTACAGCTGCCGAAATCAACCGATCAGATATTTAACATTCAGTTATACAGAACAATTTTTTCGCCTACTAGGCTATGAGTCATACATATTGTGTGTGTGGGGTGGGGGAGGGGGTTTGTGATACTACCCAATGGTTGAAGCTCAGAAGTTTAAATCGACGAGCCATACCTCCACTCAAAGTCAACTAGTCACAAAATTAGAACAGTTTCCAAGCCTAATTGCCTAATTATTCTATTAATATTTATAAACTGTCAAATATTGATCACAGTTCATTTGAATTATTCTATAAATAGTCAGTGTTTGTAACTCTTAATTAGTTAAATCATTCCGGACTAATGCTACTTTTACTTCCTACCAATTACTCCTTGTGATCGTGGAAAATTATGTTCAAATCTTTAATGTAATGTAATTCATATTTTTCATCGTTTAGGTTGTAACCAGTTGAGAAGAATCCTCGAAATAATAAAAAATGAGCTCATATTATCCTGGTACAATTGTTGTTCTTGCTTTGTTCAAGTTTATTAATGGGAAGAATTGCATGAAGTTAGGTAATTATCAAGGGAAACTTTACCTTCATTAATCTGATGTTTGCTAGTGACTGGCTACAGCACGAAGTTGACTGGAGACAACTGGGAGCCACCAACAAGGTCGGGAGTAAGAACAAATACTCGCCACTGGTCACGCTAAAATCACGAATCGGTAGAAGTCAGAACTAATGGGCTAGTCTTTGAATTGGGTCCCAGTGGCTGAATGATCTATGAGTTAGCTTCCCATGAAACTGGAAGCTCCTGAGACCACCGAACCCCTATGGTGGGTAGGTGATTACTGCTGTTGAGGCTCAAAATAGGACTAGGTTTGAGGCTATCCAACACTACCTGATGGTTTTCAATGGTTCTCTGACCAACATCAATCCATAGTCAAAATTTACAAAACTATTTTTCGTAGAAATATTTTATTTACACTTACAATTTCATTCTCCGATTGTTTTCGTTTTATTTCAAAATCATTTCTCAGTGTTGTTAGATGAGTTTGTAAGGTGTCTTTAGTATGCTGTATAACAGACAGATCTTCAGTGAGTTTTTTATTAGTAAGTTTTAATTCTTGAATTTGTCTTTCAAGAATCGATATACACGCGGATCGATTGGTTAATTCTGTTTCTAGTTTGTTTATTTCACTTGTTTTCATTTCAGTGGTATCTGACAGCTTTGTTTGATAGTTGTTCAGCTCACGTTTTGTTGACAACAATTCTGTCTGGAAAAAGACAAAGAAAATCGATTGGAGAGGAGAAAAACATTACAGAGAGAGAGAGAATAGTCATAAGAAAATCGATGCATATTTGTCTTGATAAGGAATTTGGTTAATTTATTCGAGCGTTGGTTTGTAGGGATTTGATTGATTGGTTTCAGGATTTCATCATGAAGTAACATTGATTAGGGGGCCATTGGAAAATCAGCTGGGAGTACTGGACAGATGTTCCGCCAGCCTAGATTGGGACTATTCGTTAGTATGCACCCAACGCAAGGGTTCGAACCCAGGACCTTCTGGTTACAAGGCGTAGTAAGTCGTGACCAGTCGGGTACAGCAGGTCGGGTGTGAAGACAAATACTCGCCGAAGACATACGCTAGAGGTCGCACCACATTGGAAGAAGTTGGAATTCATGGGGCGATGGATTGGGTCCTAAGGGCTTAATGGTCTACGAGCACGTCTTGTAACCAAAGGTCTTGGGCTCGAACGCCAGTGGGCGCGTACTGATGGGGAGTCACAAACTAGGACGAAACAGCTGTCCAGTACTCCCAGGTTTTCCAATGGTTCTCTAACTAATGTCAGCTCATGATGAAAATCCTGTAACCAATCAAATCCCTACAAACCAACACTTGAATATCAATGAGATGCTCACTAGTGACTTGCCCTATTCAGGTAGGTAGTTGCCTGGGGTTCTAGTGAGAAGTCGTGACCAGTAGGGTGCAGCAGGTCGGGCGTGAGGACAAATACTCGCCGAAGACATTGGCTAGGGGTCGCGCTATGTCGTGAATTGGCAGAATTTAGAATTCATGGACCATTGGATCGGGTCTCAGCGGCTTAATGGTCTACGAGCACGTCTTGTAACCAGAAGGTCTTGGGCTCGAACGCCAGTGGGCACGTACTGATGGGGAGTCACAAACTAGGACGAAACAGCTGTCCAGTACTCCCAGGTTTTCCAATGGTCCTCTGACCGATGTCAGCTCATGATGAAATCCTAAGTTAGTTAGTGACCAATCAATTGTCATTAAAACATGTTATTCAATAGTTAGGTCTAAGGGACAGACGTTAGGTGCAGGATGTTACATACAGAGGGCAAGCCAATCGATGAGGTTATGAAGTTGCATCGATTGAGACGGTTAGGACATGTGTTACACAGCTTAAGTACAGCCTTCCACGATGATTAATGTTAGCTGACATAGGATACGGTTGGATAAAAGTTAAAGGTGGTCAAACCAAAACATGGAATCAGTGAAATGAAGACTTTGAAAGTAGGTTTGAACCACGTGCGGAAGTGAATACTGCCCCCATATTAGTTTGTTTATTAGATGTATCACACAATCACAGTGAAACAGTATTATTTACTGGATGACGATGTTTCAAATACAATTTATTACTATACGAGCTCGCCTTGTAAACAGAAGGTCCTGGGTTCGAATCCCGGTGGGTGCGCACTGAAGAAGAGTCCCAAACTCGAACGAAACAGTTGTCCAGTACTCCCAGGTTTTCCAATGGTTCTCTAACTAATGTCAGCTCATGATGAAAATCCTGTAACCAATCAAATCCCTACAAACCAACACTTGAATAACAATTTATTACTGTTCATAATCATTTCATCAATTATAATCACACGACTTTGAAACTTGAGTTTTATAGTTTTCTTTGTTCTCTTCTATTTACCATCGTTGAGGTAGTAGAATTTTCCAGATATCCGCGTGGACAGGTGTTGAATCATTCATATTACACGTATTTGCAGTCGATTCGATACACAAAGCTTCTGTTATCAATCTCTCCGTCCATCCTGCTGTTAAATTACATTTTAAAACTGTCATCCTATCCCATCCCATTGTGGGGTTGTGTGTAATTGTATGTAGGGCTTACGATAGCTGAACTATTCTCTAGATTTCTTATCTTATTCGGGTCAACTAATCTAGATTTTGCTAGGTGTTTATGTTTTGCTAGTCTCACCGCCCTAAATAATTGACCATTTGTTTATCGAATCAACTGCAAACACGTGTAATAGGAATGATTCAACACCTGTCCAAACTGACATTTGGAAAATTCTACAACCCCAAAGACGGCAAATAGAAGAGAACAAAGAAATCTATAAAACTTGAGTTTCGAAGTCATGTGATTATAACTGATATGATTATTAACAGTAATAAATTTTGTTCGAAACGTCATCCAGTAAATAGTACTGTTTCACTGTGACTGTGTGATACATCTAATAAACCCACTAATATGGAATTACTTAATACTACAGTGCCCAAGTTTTACACATATATGAATACTGCCTCGTTGGAGTCCTCAGGATACTGGGAACCGGTGGTTGCAGAGATAACTAGTGATATGGCCTAAAACCGTTCTCAATGGTGCAGAAGTATCCACGCTGTGTGATTTCTCAGATCAATCAAGCCCTCATGCTTTTTCATGTTACTATTTTTTTTCTTCATCACAATTCTGCTGATCATAGTTCGTTGAATTTCTTTTCTTCTTTTCTCGGTGCACAGAATGTGGCAGCTGGAACTTTTGTACTTCTGAGCAAGGTTCTATGTTGAAACAGTCAGTATACAGGACGCTCATTTAGAATAGTATGCCTCTACATTGAACAAACACGCAGATACACATGAAGATGTTGAAACCTCCAAATAAAAAGCCTTTCTAATCAAAACAAATAGGAGAATTAAAAAAGGCATGCGTGACGCATTTCCTAACCATCTCGATCGATTCAGCATCACAACCTCATCGATTGATTTTCCCTCCTTACCTAGCACTCGACCGATGCCTAACCTCAATATTACTCACCTTATTATACCACTCAACACCACCACTTCAAGTTCCCATACTCAAGGTATCACACAAAGCAAGAGAATAGAGTTATAGTGAGATGATACACAGAAATGCTGGGCAAAAAGAATAGTAGTGTGGAAGCACAATAGAATTTTACTGGATATTATAAATCACAAAGAGTTAATGCATCTGCATCAGCCATTGACAACGATTTTGAGTCATATCACCAGTTGTCGTCTCCAGCCTTCATTGGTTCTTACCATCCCGAAGGCCCCCAACCAGTCAGTCTACAGCTCCCTACACAGCTGGCAGGTTTAAACTAACTGTTGTGGATCCCATTGACTGATCAAGCCAGGTTTTAGTTTGACCACCACTAGTTAGCTCCTTCGCAACCTGATCGATCCTATGTCAGCTAAGATTGCCCGTTGTCGAGGAAGGCAGGTGATGGCTGGCATACGTAACACATGTCCTAACCATCTCAATCGGTATAACCTCAGAATCTCGTCGATTGACTTCCCCTCCTTACCAATCACTCGACCGAAGCCTAATCTCAATATTGCTCACCTAATTATACCACCACCTAACTTGAGAGATGGAACCCAGACATCTATGGTCAAAAACAGCTAGCCGGCCTTTTCATGTCTCCTACTCTCAATACTTACTTTACTTCGGCTATCTCCTACGGGAGGATGAGCCGGCTTCATGAACATCTAAGAGAGTTCATGAAGTTTCACGGGAATTCGGTACAAGTGATGTCCCCAGAATCGCTCGGCCTTTTGTTTGAGAGTGCAGCTCTAGCCTTTACACAACCAAGTGTGACCTACAAGGCAGTAGGAGTGGAGTAGGGAGTCCACTATCCATTGGCAGCCGGTGACCGGAGTTCGGTTCATACGCCTTTTTGAATAGGGCCAGACATCCAGGACATCCAACAAGCCCTTTGTCCATACGTCTGCCGATGAGCTCCAGTGAGCTTCATACGCCAGTCGTTGGAGGTTTGGAATCAGGGTTTAGCCATCTCCCCTGGACTGTCATCCAATGGACAGTCAACCCGTTGAAGAGCGCCAGGCATCCGCTTTCGCCCTCTCACTTTGGTGAAAAAACACCTCCGCCACGTGAAGGCAGTGAGTAGGACTTCCTCAGGAGAGGCTATGTAAGACGCCCGGTCATATGGGAGCATTTCAAGAGGTGTGCGGAGGGGTGGCCAACCCGCAGCGCAAGGCACCCACCCCCGACCATCCTGAGGCTTTGGAGACCCTACTCTTAATGGTCATGTCTCATAGTCATTAATGAGGATGGAGTGAACTCCTGGGCAGTAAACACATCCTTTGATCGACAGACAGCTAGATATCACGTTCACGCCAGACACGGCGTAAATTGGCATATGCGAAACAAGACTTCTGTATCCGAGCTGAGATTTCGTCAGAGATCAGCCCGTTGGCGTTGGCTGATGCCACCTCTCAAATAAATGAAGTGATCAACACACTGCACTGACTCACTCCCTATCTTCAATCCAGGCGTCGATGTAGTCCATGCCTGTAACATCATCATGACATTTGACTCCAAACATCCGAGGATTGCTGCTCCTTAAGGTGTTCAGAAGACTCTGCATTCTATTAGTGTCTTCAACTAGGAATGAGCGTTATATCATTCACATATTCCAAGTCAACGAGATTATTCCCTCACGGTAACAAGTCAATCCCTAAGTCGCTGAAGTCAGTTAAGGTCAACTCCATTAGCATATTTATGATGAAATTGAAGAGAAGTGGCGACAGTGGGCATCTCTGAGGGACACCACTGGTTATCATGACTTAGATGAATGCTAAGAAGGAAAACTCACGCACAAATGGTCAAAGTTCAAGTCAAAGAAACAATCAGTTCCAATACAAGCAGCCTAGAGGGTGTGAAAACACGAAAACAACCAACCATATTCAAAATCACTCACCAGGAGAGATGACTAATAAACTCGTGGAGAAATCTAAAAGCTCACTTCAATTCAAATTGAAGTATGCGCTGAAGATGTTGCCTAGTGGAGCAATGAATGTTTCGCAAATTAACTATCCAGCTAAGAGAACACAACCACATCAAAAAAGACAACTCTCTATAAGCGCTTACACGACTGTGTGAGTTCGAGTAGAACAGAAAAGAAAAAAAGGACGAATGAATGAGGAGTCATCACACTTTGTCAAAATGTCCAACTTCTTTAAAACTGAAATCTTACTTTTAAAGATTCATTTTCTGATAAAAGAGAATTCAACCTTTGATTTATCCGTAGACTGTCTTCATTGGTTTGTTTTGATTTATCCTCAGAGTTTTCATTGTTCACTAACTCCTATGAATGATATAAGTAACATAATAAAGACGATAAAAATAAATGTCTGTCAATGATAATCTGTGAGTAATACAACAACAGCATAGTGTCAAGATGCAACCAACTCTCATTACTGACTATCAACATTGCGAATCAAATATCACTGAATAGAGGTTTTACCACGGTTAGCAACTGTCTATTTGTGTGTGTCTGCTTTCAACATAGAACTTTGCACCGATGTGCAGAAGTCCGAGTCTCCACACTCCATGTAACACACAAAGCAAACGAAGAAAGTAAAAGGAAGTGTAAAATAGAGATAGTAGACAGAGATATGAGACAAAAGCAATAGTAATAACGAAGAACAATATATTTTTATTCGATACTATAAGTCACAAGGAGTGGATGCATCTGCGCCAGCCATTGAGAACGATTTTGATCCATATCACCAATTGTCTCCAGGCTTCAATGAGTTTTATGATCTCTAGGACCCAGACCAGGAAGTTTACATCTTCCTACGTAAATCAAACTAACTGTTGTGGATTTCATTTACTAATCAAGCCATGTTTTGGTTTGACCGCCGCTAGCTCTTTTCGATCCTGACCCCATGTCAGCTAACATTGACCGTCGAGGAAGGCGATGACTAGGCATATGTAACACATGTCCTAACCATCTAAGTCGATGTAACTTCACAGCCTCGTCGATTGATTTCCCTTCACACCTACCTAGCACTCACCCGATACCTCACCTCAATATTGCTCACCCTATTATACCACTAAACACACACACGAGATAGAACGCAGGCACCGATGATCAAAGACAGCTAGCCATGCATTTCATGTCTTCTACTCTCAATGGCCAGGTATCACAGTCATAAAGGAGGACTGAGTGGACTGCTGAGCAGTAAACAGATCCTTTGATAGATAGACGGATATCACGTCCACACCAGACACGGCATAAACTGGCATATGCGAGACGAGCCTTCTCTCTCCGCGCTGAGATTTCGCCAGCGATCAACTCGTTCACACTGGCTGATGCAACTTCCCAAATAAGTGAAGTGGTCAACACGCTCCACCAACTACTTCACTCTCTATTTCTGAGCTAGGAGTCAATGTAGTCCAGTCCTGTAGCCTCATCATCTTACACTTCACAAGGGGGGCGAATCGCATATCAAACATTCGCAGATTGCAACTCAATGTGTTCAGAAGACTCTGCATTTTGTCAGCATCCTCATCTACAAGGACTATATCATCTGCATACTCTAAGTCAACGAGATTATTCCCTGACGGTAATAAATCAATCCCTGAGTCGTTGAAGTCACTTAAGGTTAAGTCCATTAGTACATATATGATGAAATTGAATAGAAATGGGGATAGTGGGCACCGCTGTCGAACACCACTAGTTGTCATCACTTCAGATAACAACTCTGCGTAAGCTCTCACCTGGCTGACTGAGTACAGTGTCTTGATCAGTGTAATGTGTTTTCTCGACATTCCTTTTACAACCATACATCGCCAGAGTATCTCTCGGTCGACAGAATCGAAAGCCGCCTTTAGGTCAGGAAATATAACGATTGTTGGACGATTAGAAACTAATGACGGACAGGTGGCTGAATGACTGAAACATTCTACTTCTAGCCAATGAACTTAGGATCCAAATCCCACCACCCTGTCTACCTTAATCTCGGCAACTAGATTGTATTGTCATTGATCGCAGTATGTGTCATTCACACTAACCTGATATATATGAAAAAGCTGATCCGAGTAAATAACTAACTCACAATCCCATAGGGAAATAAGTCCAAGACAATTAAGGTCGAGGTGTGTATTTTTTAGTTTATTACTACTGGGCTAGTGGAATTGGAATCAGACGGCTTATGCTTTTAAATTATGTGCATATTATTGATAAAAAAGACACTGTAATACATCAAATACTCTTGGAGTGATAGATTATCAAAAAGACGATAGTAAACATTTTCAAGTGTTGATCTGAAGGGATTTGATGACTTTAGGACTGATCAAAAATTCAATTTAGTTAGAGAATCCGTGAAAACTAAGGAGTGCTGCAAAATTGTTTCATCCTCATTTGAGACACTTCATCAACACGTGCCTATGACCTCTTCAGGCGTCGAACCCAGAACTTTCAGGATAGAAGACGAGCCAGTCGACCATTCCTCTACAGGGACGGAATATACTACTCACTTGTGTCTGAATGTAGAATGATGTTGCCAGCGTTTCTAGTGGGAAGGAGTGACCAGCGGCCTCCAACAAGTCCGCTGTGAAGACAAATATTTGCCAATGACAATGACTGGCGATGACGAATTGGCAGATGTTAGAATTGATGCTGGTTGACGATTTCGCCATGTAATGAGACCATCAGTGCGTGCTGATGAAGAGTCCCAAACAAGGACGAAACATATGTCCAGTACTCCCTGCCTTTCAGTGGTTCTCTAAATGGAGTGAATTCGTGATTGATGCTGAAATCAATAACAGATGGTTATGGAGAACAGACAGATAACTGCATGCACTCATGTCTGTCACATGCTTCGCCACATTTAACAGCAAGATGTATTTGTAATCTTGAAGTAAATAGCTCAATAGCTGAGAAATCAAACCTATTTGATCAGTGTGTATCAGCTTGCTAACGTTCACTGCATAAAGCAATACAACGAAATATTTACCAACATAGTGAGAGATAAAGTTATTTTGCTCACCTCTGCAGTAAACTGTACTTCCGCGTTATCAGTATCCACCTGAGTATTGGTGATTGCATCCAATTTGATAATCTCGTCCTAAAATGTCAGAATAGATAGCAATAAAATACACTGATGATACGATGGTAAGTGTATTTGCAGAGCAGGCTAGACTGATAGAATTCAGTCTGCACCAAACAAAGGATTAGACGCAGTACACTAGCTAATGACCAGTGTCCAATTAAAAAATATCCATTACAGTCCTATAGGAGGTCAACCGAGAGCCCGAATAGCTCAGTGGTAACGTCTTTGACGGCAGCACTGACTGGTAACGCAGGTTCGAATCTCAGAAGGGACATGAGTTCCTTCGAGGTTGCAAATACGCCTTGCTGATGAGTGCCAACTAGCACGAAACCTAGATGTGTCCAAGGCTTCCTGCCGATTGCCTCCAACCATATAATACCAACTATTTGCAAAGCAATTTTTGGATAGCCTGACAGTCTAATTATTTCTGTGATGAGAGCTGTCTGCAAGCCAAAATTGTAGGCAGCAATTTACATCAATGTTTACGTCCTGAATCAGAGTCACGAGAAAAAACACCAACAAAGCTTAACCTTGAGGAACTCACCAAACAATCAACAGCAGACTTGACGTGTGCAAATACGATTCGCAGATATATGGCTTAACTTTCTGAGAAACGATCACAAGCAGTACAGAATAACCTTTAGCAAGAAAACAACCAATCAGAAGACGTTGCTTCTCTGCTAACAATAACGCTAATAATAATGCACATAAAAATCTATAAATATCTCTTGATTTTCTCAGAAAACGATCTGTTGCTTGGCCCTTGTCTACTGTCATTACACTCCGAGTATTGAGATATAAGAATAAAACTTATGGTAGAGAATCCAAGAACATAAATCAGCCGTGAAAAGACATGATATATATTCTTTAGTATCAATGCATATAGACAATTATGGTCATCAATTTGATTGCGATCATGTCGAAATCTTAGACAGAGGAAACTCCAAAAGTGCCAGAGAATTCCTAGAAGCCTGGTACTCAAGCGAAAATGCAATTAACAAACACGTTAATATAGATGAAATATACCAACTAATAAAAAGTAAATCAGGTGACCAAAAAGTTTAAAATCCAAGTCAATAAAAAATGGTCAATACATATGTAAAGATAGTTACTAGGAGACGCAATTATACCACTCATGAAGAAATTTAAACCATTTCACTTTGTGCTAAATATTGCGCTTAAAATGTTGTCCATCAGAGGGACGACAAAAGCTCCGCAACTAAACCAACCAGCTCAGAGAACAATATTAATTGCAAATCACCCACCTGAGCTACAAATCTTCTCCATTATTTCAGAGTATAATTCCATTATAGATAAAATCTTATTTTGATAAAATCATACAGTGTTATACAGTAATATTTACTGATGACGTTTAAAGTACAATTTATTTCTCATAAGCATATCAATACTGCTCTTATAACATTTAATCCTACTCAAAAGATATGGTGGAGATATATGGATAACACTTTCATAGTGTTAAAAGCAGAACACATCTCTAGCTTGGAATTTGAACTTTCTTGTCACGCAATTAAACCAACCTGAGCTACAAATCTTCTCTATTATATCTCTAGCTCATTCACACGTATAAACTCAATAGTAAAGGGAATAAAATTCACATTTGAATCAGAAAATGAACCAGGAAAATTAGCTATAATAGACTATAAAATAAGACGAATAGAAGTAGGAAAAGTCAATGCGTTCTAATAGATATTTAGACTTTAATTCATCTCATCCATCGTTGTCTGTCAAGGCAGGCTTAGTTAAGTGTCTAACAGACTGAGCCATAGCACTAAGTAGTACAACAAAAAACCCAAACGATGAAATGAAACAGAGAGAGGAGGCGTTGGTGTTAAACAACTTCACTATCCCATAAAATTCATTAGGAATATCAAAAAAGGTCAAACTAAAAATAGTGGTGAAGCTAATAATGATAACATAAATAAGAGAGAATATAAGGCATCTACAGTTTTACCATATGAGGGAGGAACATCTGAGACTCTACGTAGGATTCTCAATAAAGTAGGAATTAGTGTAGTGGCATTCAAACCCACTCAGGTAGGATAAGCTCTGTAGGCTAAAGGACCCGGTGGACCCAATTAAACAAAATAATATAATTTACAAAATACCCTGCAATGACTGTGAGCTAAGTCAACTACATAGGTCCAACTAGTAGATCAGGAGTAGTGAGATTGCCTATCAGAACATAAGAATTTAGCTAAGTTAAGAATGATTGACCCCGAGAAGATAAGTAATTTGGAAAAAAGCTCAGCAATTGCACTGCATGCATTAACACACAACCACACAATAGCATGGTGCGAGAGGGTTTAAATTGTAAAAATTAATATAGGTAGGTGGATGGAGCGGTTGATTACTAAATCCTGCCTGGTTCATCAAGTCTACACCCAACACAACACATGAAACAGAAATGACTCAATGCAAATATCAGAGATATGCATGGAAGACATTATTACCACCAGTCAGTCAGTGAAATCAGAGGAGGATAATAAATAATCTTAAAATTCTATTTCAATTCAATTCAGATACATCATAACATTCTAAGAAGTTACTTATTTATTTTACTATAAAAACACTCGCCTTATTTCCTATCTGATTGTATTTTATTGGTAACACTAATATTATTTTGAATAAAGCAAGAACAACAGTGGTTTTTGCAAAATAAAATGGTACTATCATTCCTTATTTCGTTGGTTTCTCATCACCTGCTTACAGGCCAAAGTCATTATTAAATATAACTAAAGAAACAATTTTAACATATTTGCACAGACAGTTCATTTTTAAACAAAAATCAACCAATCAATATATGCATAAAGTATATACATATACATATATATATATATATATATATATATATATAATATTAAACACTTCCGAACAATAATGATCATACACAATGGAAACTTTCGGTATTACGTAATCAGATGAATTTCTGAATGTACATTATCTTATATTGATTTTTATTCAAATGTCTAATCATCAATTTCACTCATGTATATAAATGAAGGAAGAAAGTTGTGTGAGTGAGTGACTTGATATGACTATGAGCAGTGATAGATTGTGCTAGAAACGTCATCATCAGTAAACATTACTGTAAAACACTTTGTGACTCCTTCGAGTATCTTGTGAAGTACCGCGGGGGAGGTGACAACAACAACGACTAGATTGAATGCACTAAACTCTGAGAATAAAAACTCAAGGCGTGAGGAAAGTTTGAGTCAGAATCATAGAAAAGTTACCAAAGCACCTTCATTTTATTTTGGTTTTTACAATATGTTTTTACTTTACCTTAATTTCCAGCTCGTTTATACGCTTTTCCAATAGGTTAATTTTGTCATCCTTTTCCGCCAAACTGGCATCAGTTGACTGGAAAAAAAATGTAAGAGAAAGGGGTGACTGGAAAAAATATTAAGCAATACAGACACAAACAACAATTAACTTTTTCAAGCGTTAGTTTGTAGAGATTTGATGCTGCTCAAATTTTGATCACGGATTGATATCAGTTAGAGAAGCATTGAAAACCAGCCCACAGGGAGTACTGGATAGCTATCTTGTCCCAGTATGAGATGCATAGACACTAAGCACGCACCACACACAGGGTTGTACACTCCGACTTACCTTGGAGTTGTCCGTAGCCAGCGCTTCTATCTTGATTCTGACACGGCTATTCCAAACTGGCCGTATCTGATCGATCCTTAAGCAGTTGTCCCGTCAATTCTGCAAACCCTAAGCATTGGTGCTTTTCCTGTCGGATTTATTTCAAGAAAAATCAACTTCCACTATGTGAGCAGTTCTCTGGAAGGTAACAACAGCTCAGACACTTCTTTGAGCAAGCACACAAGGTTCCCCTGATCATTACCAACTTCATGATGAGAGTTAGTTTTTCGAAGACGATGTTACATTAATTTAATTTAATTTTAGATATTCCCGTCGACTGATTGGACCGAAGTGCTTCTCGATCTCAGGTGGACATGTCAACTTCTTGTACATATGCTTCGACGGTGTCTGGGCATGTAATAGGAGGATAATTGGTGGATGGTGACTAGCAGTGGAATCCAGGATAACGCGGATTTCGTCCTATTTGGGACTCGTCAACAGGATGTACCTGCATTCCGCAGTAAGTGATGATGTTCAATTAAATAATTAATAAGACTCGTTGCACAAGGGGTGGCTCTCGTGGCCCAAGTGGTCTAGTGGATAACGCTTTGGTTGGTGTTTGAAACTATGGGCACTGGGTTCAAGCCTCGGTGGGAACATTGTCATCACTCACTGGGGAATGCAGATGCATCCAGATGACGAGTCCCAAATAGGACGAAATGCGCACCTTGGATTCCACTGCTAGTCACCATCCACTAATTACCTTCTGATGTTACACTTAGTTTCACAATATTTCGCGGAATATCACTAACACTAGTCTGCAAATTATATGACAAAATTTCCATTTTCATTATAATAGTCAAATAAAAAGAAGGAGATTCTCGGAGAGATTTGATATCACTTCTTCATAAATACCGGAAACTTCAAGTGTATGGGTGGCAACAGTTAACTACTATAATTAAGTCCTTATATGGAACATTTTGTTTATTACCATTGCATGTCATTCATACGAATACTCTACTTACATTCACTGGATTGTGGGTTCGTATCCCCTGTGACTTTCCATTTTTTCAGAAATCGGCTGTTATTATTATTATTTCGATGGTGAAAGAAAGACCAGATTTGCAGTATAAGGTGTGATATTGTGGTGAGAGCTGTCTACTAGCCAAATTGGTGGACAGTAATTTACGTCAATGTTTACGTTCTCAAGATTGGTCGTGAGAAAATATGAACAAGACTGATTCAAAAACCGACCACAGCAGACTTTGCGTAGGCGGATACAGTTAACATATAGATGATCTGACATTCAAGAAACAGTCACAAAGAGATGAAACATTAACTTTGAGTGAGAAACAACCAATCAGAAGACTGTGTTTGTTTGCTTACAATAATCTATAATAATGTAGATGAAAATATATAAATATGCTTTGATTTCCTTAATAAAGGATCTGTTGCCTGGCCCTTGCAACAGAAGACAAACATTTCATACTTCAATGTTTGAAAGGTAATAGAGAAGACATTATATGATGAACGCATCCTGAATAAGTATTACAATTATTTTTAGTTTAAGTTACCATCAATTTATATGCTGTCAAACTATGAAAAAGGGGATTAGAGAAGACAGAAAAATCCAATAAACAGTGTTAGCTTGTACTTCAACACTGCAACTCAAGAAGGTTAAAGTTCATCATATTGAAAACTTGCTTGGTGAGCTTAGCTGAGCTCACTAGTGTGTATGACTAATCAGTGTAATGAAAGTAATACGATTACCAAGGGAGTGAGAGACTGATTGAACTCTCTCTGTCTGTGTGCATAAGTTTGCTCTGAAACGTTTGATTGCTGTAATTGCTTCAGCAGTAAATCGTAGTAGATTCGCTGTTCTTTGTATGTTTAATATTTTGAAGGATTTGGAAATCTCGACAAAATGACCCGCATCCACATGGTGGGTGTCTAGTGATTGCACTTTGTAAATATCTGCTTCCTTCTGAGCATAAGTTTCTTGGAATATGCTTTGAAGACCGGATAGAAGCCTTTCATTCTGTCCTTCCAATGTACCTGCTGCCGCAGGTGAAAGTAAATTTATAAATGCAGTTGGCGAGGACATCAGCAAGGTACTTATTCAGTTTCAATTGGCTTATAAAGCACGTGCGTTCATCTTATAACGTTTTCTCTATTATCTTTCAAACATTGAAGTATGAAATGTCATTATTTATAACCGCTGTAATTTCAGGTAGTTTGCAGTTAGCTGATGAGAACCTGTGAAATAGAATGATGATATCATTAATTTATACTGCAAATCTAGTCTTACTTTCTCGATCGAAGTTTATCAAGGGAACCAAATGTATGAAATTATTATTATTATTATAAACACATCCTTTTGATAACAAACTGCGGCAACACATAACATTGAAAACTATAACTTAAATACAAAGATCAATCCACAGCTTACCTTTATTGATGAATAAGTGCTTGCTAGCTGAGCTTGATAGTCTAGAAAACTGCTCACTTTATTCTTAAGCTCATCATCTCTGAAAAGATGGTAAAAAAAGTGGTGGTAAGCGGAGTATAGATAGAACTATCGAATTGTACTGGAAAATAAGTTGTCTAGAGGGACAACAGTGCGTCGGTGGCACAGCTGTAGAATACTCACCACCAACCATGCAGGTGGTCCAAGGATTGATCCCGGATCCTTTACCTCGCCAAACGAATAATAAGACTGGTAAGGAGGGAAGTTTGGGCATGAGGCTGGCTAGCAACCCCATCCTGTAAAAATAAACACCACTGCTACCGAAACTTCAAGCCTCTAAGCTTGAAGCCCTCGCTGTTCCACTGGACAATAAAACCACTCAGAGTTCAGAGAACACAACCACATTAAAAACATCCACTTCAATCAATCCATCAAGTTGGCTTGAGCCATGTAGGAAGGTTTAGACTGTCTCGTTAGGGTCCTTGGCATGCAAACAACAAAAGGCTACAGACAACTGTTGATGTGGCTCGAAATCATTCTCAATGACACAGATATATTCACTCTTTTTAATCCCCAAGATTCATTAAACCATATTGATTTTGCGTGTTCCTATTCTTTCTCCTTCACATTTCTGCTTATTATCGTCCTTTCGAATCATTTTTTTCTCTTCTTTTTCTCCCTTTGTGTACTTCATAGGGTGTGATAACTCGAACTGGTGCGCTTCTGTGTTAAGCTCTATGCTAAAACTCAGTCTTAGTCAATTATCTCAGCTACATATCTCCTCGACTGTGTCAACTAGAGATAGTATTACTACTATTATACCGGAGCTAAATTATATAATGACGAGTGTTTGTTGTGAAGCTGAGCTATTAGTTACACTATATATACATAATTGTTTCCTTCAGCTACTAGAGGAACATAAGGCTTCAGACTCACGTCTCCAACGTTTCCATCACCTGGCTCCACGTCCGCCCACATGCTTTCATCTACTCTTCACATGACCTCCACCATGTCACCCTCGCTCTCATGAACAACTCGCCGCTACCCATTCGGGTTCCACTCGAGCGATGGCCTAGCGTGTGGTATCACTCACTTGATGGTTTGTTTTCTCGGAGTATGGGCAATCCACCTCCATTTCTTCCTGCTTATTTGTTGCACAATCGGTTCCCACCGGGTTGGTTGGTTCGCTCCCAGAAACCCCTCCATGTTGCTGATGTTTTCTGGCCGGTCATCTGATCTTGAGTATTGAGCGAAGGCAGCTGTTGATGAAATTCTGTATTTTGTTTGAGGTGCTCTTCATGACGCGCCAAGTCTCTGATCCATAAAGTAGCACTGGCTTTACATTGAAGTTGGAAATCAGCATCTTATTTTCATTTCCATGCTGAATGCTGTTGACCTATACACATACTTGAGAGAAATGAAAGCTTTCCTTGCTTCCCCGATAATCCTCGCTTTGATATCCCCACCAGTTCCGTCTGCCTGTAGTTGAAAAGATGCTTCCCAGGTCAGTAGGTAAAGGAGGTTGCTTCTACCAGATTTCTCCCATTTATGTTGATTGTTGTCTGTTGTTGTTGCTGTTGGCCAGAAATCTTTATCACCTCTGTTTTCTCTATGTTCACCTGAAGTTCTTGTTGCTTTTCACTTGTTATATATATATATATATATATATATGATACCTTACGGTACTATGTCGAGGTAGAACTAGGTCTTACTGATTGAAGATTAAGTGATGAAGACAAGAAGTCGCATCTCTACAATGAGAGAATGATTTAAACCGTGATAATTTCGCGCACATATTACATTATATTTTATTTATTTATTTAAACACAAAAAACTTGGTACAATATGGCACCAAGAAGATGCGCTACAGAATAATAATAAAACAATATATATCAAAAGGAAAAAGGCACAAACAGCGAAGAAAATTTTCTTTTCGACGATTCATTTTCATGAGCTGTACAATCGTAATTATAATTAACAAAGATTTCTTTGTTAATTATAATTACGATTGTACAGCTCATGAAAATGAATCGTCGAAAAGAAAATTTTCTTCGCTGTTTGTGCCTTTTTCTTATGACTCAATATGGGAATATTTCGTTCAAAAGGAAAAATATAGGTGAATAATGGATAAAGTACTTTATCTGGAAGGAAAACAGTCACTCTTAACAAGTTCAAACAGCATTCGTCAACTGTCATCGGGAAGGGAAGAAAGAAGGAAATTGTAGCACGTTCTCCACTGATTACGATTCTTAGCCATATCCGATAACGTTTCAAGCCATCACTCGGACTCCAACCAGGGGAGTCGTGACGCACAAACCGATGCTAACCTAGCACAAATATCCTTCATCCCACGACGTCACGTCATGGGCTGGCCAGCGAACGGAGAGCTGTACGGAAGCTTCCGGGATGACATTCGCAGCACATGTTCAAGCCACCGAAGCCGGTGTTTCCAGATGACGACACTCAACGAGTGGTGATCTCGACTGTGTTCAGAATTACTCACGCGACGATGCCACCACTCTTCATCTTTAGTATTCCTATTCTGGTCCTGGATACAAAATAAACTAACGACATAAGTCACTTCTTCTATATGAATCCGAAAATTGACTAGCGCATCATGAAAAGCATTTCAAACAGCCATCTGCAGACTTTTATCAACAGCTGCCTTCGCTGGTTCCATACTGAAGATTAGATGGCAACCTTGCAACCTGCGCATGCCTGACCATCGCCTACCCCAACGGGCATTACTAGCTGATATAGGTGCAGGTTGGAAAAGAGTAAGTCGTGGCCAAACAAAAACATGGCCTCATCAATCCATGAAATCCCTGACAGTTAAACTGAGTCAGGTAGGGAGATGCAGACTTCCGGGTTGGGGCCCGCCCTCGGGACTCTAAGAATCAATGGCTGAAGACAATAGGTGACATGGCTCAAAATCGTTGTCAATGGCTTACGCAGATGTATTCAGTCTCTGTAAACTTTCATATTCCTTCCTACCATTACTCATTTTGTTTCACTCTTATACTTGTCAAAACTCTATTGATTCTCTTCACTCATTTTCTTGTCTACCTTTGTGTGCTCTTTGGAACGTGGCAACTGGAACTGCTGCACTTCGGTGCCAAGTTCTATGTTGAATCCAGCAGCAGCAGATGGCAACCTAGAAAGAATTAACAACAAGAAATTCTGGGAACGAACCATTCAAGAACCTACTGCTCAACAATCATAACTGAAGGAAATGGAGATAAGTCAAGCACACGTCAATGAGACTGTCGGGCGAAAGCGCGCTCCAGTCCACCACTCTAATGAAACCCCAGTGGGAGACAACGAGTTGGGTGTTTGTCCAAGGGTTACATGGAGGGTATGAAATCTTATGGGCAATTGTGAGGCCATCTGAAGAACACTGATGAGGATAGGACAAAGTGAAGACGTGCTGTTGAAGCCCTATGTTCCACTCAGGACACAAAGGAATAATAATAGGGGAAAAATAAAATAATTCACTAGTAATTTATATAAATGGACACATAAAAATGTATTTCCCACCTCCTTCCTACTTTTCGATGAATAAAGAAACAAGAAAGACGCAGTGTGCTGACTGTTATTATTAGTTACACACGACAATAATATGAATCACTGGAACATACAACCTCTTGCAGCTCGTCCACGAAAGATGTGATGAGCCGACACATGTTAAGGTAATACAACTGGCGTTCATCACATAGTGGTACTTTACGAACTAACCACTTCCACGCTTCTTTCAATCAATGACGCCGCTTACAGGGAAGACAAGGCATATTATACTCTCAAAATAAAAGCACTTCTTCAGGATGTCATTACTTATTGGAGGTTTTTCTTTATAAAAAAAATTCACATTCGTGAGACAATACGGCTTTGATTCAATGGCTTCAGTCATTAACTTTTAAGTGATGAAGCAGAAATCCAAACTAGTTCCACTTCCAGAAGATTCAGTAACTTGGTGGTACCGTTAGCCACTGAAACGATAGAAGACGAAAACTCAGCAAAGGAATGTTTGTTTGGAAATTGGTATATCTGTATAGCCAAATTGTGTACGCCTCATCTTCAATGCACAATTTGTACAGATCTTCGTGTTGTAGTACTTCTGGCCTTCATATTATATGTGTTTCTTTGTGCTCCTTTCACGTCCTGGATAACGAGGGTTCCGGTGTCATAGGCGACATGAGTTTTGGCACAGTTACAGATACACCTGACTGATCGGCGCTAAGAAGTACGAAACCTAGGTCAGGGACTTCTACTTAGCTTAGTGAACACATTGTAACCACTCTACACCAACATCAAGGACTACATCAATCAACCATATACATGTATCTATAATATTGTGTAACTCAATCAATACTTTAAACTTAAGTGTATATATTTTGTTCTAATGCACTGGACTGATCACTTTATGATGTGTCTGTGATCTAGCCTTAATTGAATTGTATCATTAAGTTGAAAGTTTTGTCTGTGACACTCACAATTTCATGGTCTGACACCTTGCATCCAGTTACCTAGCTCAGTTTTGAATTTAACTATGAATAACTCTTATTTGAATTCAAATGTTGGCTAGATTGACATTTCAATGTTGCGTCATATCGTCATGTATCTTTTCATTACCAAAGAAGTATTATCTATGCTCGGATAGCAAACATAACTTATTCATATGTTAATTGGTGGATGAGGACTAGCAGTGGAATCCGGGATAGTGTGCATTTCGTCCTATTTGGGAATCGTCAGCTGGATGTACCTGCACTCCACAGTGAGTGACGATGACGTTCCCACCAAGGCTCGAACCCAGTGCCCATAGTTTCAAACGCCAGCCAAAGCGTTATCCACTAGACCACTTGGGCCACGAGAGCCATCTCTTGTGCAACTGGGGAATGCAGGTATATCCAAATGACGAGTGCCAAATGAGACGAAATGCGCGTTATCCTGGATTCCACTGCTAGTCACCATCCACCAATTGTCTTCTAATTACATGCTGAAGCATTGTCGAAGCATCTGCACAAGAAGCCGACATGTTAACCTGAGATCGAGAAGCACTTCGGTCCAATCAGTCGACGGGAAAATCTAAAAATTCAATTAAAATAGCTTATTCATAATTGATTCAATATGTTTTTGCGCTTCAAATAAAGTCAACTTCTATCCAGTATAAGATTGCATTACTCCACTTTTTCACTTGGTAATGTTGTTGTTGTTGTGGATTTCTTCTAAGAAATTCGGAGAGATAATCTAAGTGATTAGTTAAGCCGCACGTAGAGTGACGCGTAAAATCCAAAGCCACAGGATATTTGTCTACAACACGGTATTGTATTAAACACGAAATAATGAAATAGAATATACGGACCTCAAATTGTGAGGTGCCTCTGGTTGAATACCGTCAAAAGTACACTTGGTATGCGCCACTAAGACATTGGCTAGTAATCGCGCTATGTCATGAATTGGCAGAAGTTGGAATTCATGGGCCATTAATTCGCGCTGTAGTGACTTAATAGTCTATATGCTGGCCCACCATGGAGGTGGGTAAATACTGATGAAGAGTCCCAAACTAGGCTGATGAAACAGCTGTCCAGTACTCCCAGCTGCTTTTCTAATGGTCCTCTAACCGATGTCAGCTCATGATGTAACCAATCAATCAAATCCCTACAAACCAATACTTGAAAAACAGCAAAGCTGTGTCAAAGGTGGTCCACGTGTAGAGTTGAACAGTGCGCGAACACCAGACACAGAATAAAGTGACATGAGTAAACAATGTTCAACAGTGAATGGTATATAAATAAGGCATATACAGCAGATAGTTTTCATCTATACATCAAATAGAATATTAATGCATTAAGTTAATTAAACTATAGTGGAAAACAAAGTCATGGTTAAGTAAGTAGTGACAAATATAACGTAAACTGTAACGGTAGAAGACATGAGATTCGGTAAGGGAATATATATTTGCGATGTGGTACTGTTGTAAAGCGATACTATGTACACCGTATCTTCAATGCACCATTTGCAAAGATCTCACGTGTTGTGCTACTTCTGGCCTTCCTTCATGTTGTGTTCCTTTCACGTCTCCCATGTATCTTCACAACGCTGTATCATTTGCTTTCTCTGGCATTAAATCTATCTCCCTGCTGTTTGATGTTATTTATACCGATTAACGTCTCTTTATAAACTACTGGCAGATCTTATCAGTTGCACTTGCCACACCACTACAGTACGTCACGTAATCTAATGAACAAATCAGATTGTGAAAAATACTAAATATAATCAATTAGGTAAAATGAACACCACGACACAACTCTAATTCACACCGATATGTACACGCTCCAACACCTCCGAATTTTGTGTATGGCTGTCGAATCGCGTCCATTATGCATGTCACTGTTGCGATGACTACTAGCTTTACTATACATAATTGGAATTTTATAAATTATGGAGGTTTTCTTTCATGCGTATATTTTAAAGTTTTTTTTCATTCCTTCACGTTCCCAGTGGAACATAGGGCCACTTCAAGCTAGTGGCTTGAAGTTTCTGTAGCAGTGGTGATTACTTTTACAGGATGGCGTTGCTAACCAGCCGCATGCCCAACCTTCCCTCTTTGCCAGTCTTGCTACTGGCTTAGAGAGGTGAAGGAGTGCGTCTGTGGCAGGGGACCAAACCCCGGACTACATAAGGCGTGGTCGGCAAGCACTCTACCACTGTGCCACCGACGCATATTTTAAAGTTGGCATGTTCATATCAGATTACACATTAAAAAGCCAGGAAAATAAGTCAAAAATTATGTTACAAGATGACTCACTTTATTGTTTTAGGATCTACCAAAGGAGCTTCATTAAGAAGGAGTCGGATCACTGCTTCCTAGATATAAATAAAATTATATGTAAAACAAAAAGGCTCAAGTGACCAGATTGTTAATACGGGTTCCAAAAGAATTACAGCACAATTAAAGACTATAAGAAAAAATGGAGGATTCCATAAACAAATGTCTGTCTGTCTATCTGGTTTCAACATAGAACTTTGCACCGATGTGCAGCAGTTCAAGTCACCACACTCCATGTAGCACACAAAGCCAGAGAAGAAAGTAGAAGAAATGCATAATAGAGACAGTAGACAGCGATATGAGACAAAAGTAATAGTAATAACGAAGAACAACATGGTTTCATCGGGTACTATAAGTCACAAGGAGTGGATGCATCTGCGCCAGTCATTGAGAACGATTTTGAGACATATCATGGAGTTCATTGACTGAAGCCATGTTTCGGTTTGACCACCACTAGCTCTCTTCGATCCAGACCCTATGTCGGCTAACATTGCCCGTTGTCAAGGGAGGCGATCGACAGCTAGGCATGCATGTGTAACACATGTCCTAACCATCTCAGTCGATGTAACTTCACAGCCTCGTCGATTGATTTCCCCTCTTTACCTAGTAATCGACGCCTAACCTCATGATTGCTCACCCTATTATACCACTTAACACAGAAGATAGAACGGAGGCACCTATGATCAAAGATAGCTAGCCCTGCATTTCATATCTTCCACTCTCAATGGCCAGGTCTCACAGCCATAAAGGAGGACGGAACGGACTGCTGAGCAGTACACACGCCCTTTGGTCGAAAGTCAGCCGGATATCACGCCTACGCCAGACACGGCGTAAACCGGAATATGCGAATCTAGCCTTCTGTATCCGTGCTGAGATTTCGTCACCAATCAACCCATTGGTATTGGGGTTGATGCAACTCCCAAATAAGTGAAGCAGTCAACACGCTCCACCAACCACCTTAATCTCTATTTCTAAGCTAGGAGTCAGTGTAGTCCAGTCCAATCCTGTAACATCATCTTACATTTGGAGGGAGCGAATCGCATGGCAAACCCAAATGAGTGTTCGATAAGGAAATTTCTTCGACACGATACAAACTTTTAACCATTGTATAGAACAACGGTCAGAGTAATTAAAAATATAACAAGTAGTTAAAAATACCTGAATAATGTGGCTCATAATGGTGGAAATTTAAATACACTGCATAGTCTACGTTTCGGACACATTCATTCGTCTTCAGTTTTTCTCTTCTAACTTATTTTGAATACCTTAACTTCTTGTTCTATACAGTATTTAATCTTTTGACTTTCTCAGTGTTTCCTCTGAGATTGTTTCTCCCATCATGTTGTACTATGTGGCAGATTGAGTAAATACAAGAAATACACTGTGCTTCGTATGATTACCTATAATAACAAGCTACTCAGAACTAATTGATTCCGCCTACCGAAAAGGGTTTGTGAATGCAATATACAAGGTTAATTGGAATCTTAGCTTACTACTTATAAAGTGTGAGACAATAGATTTTGGAACGGCAAGAACTCTAGGGTTTAATCGCCATGCTTACCGAGTGATACACAATGAACAGATCAGAGGTAAAAACTCTCATCTAGGTTTCTTAGCGCTATTCAGTGCAACAAATAGAATCAATAATTGGGCTTTCCTGGTGGTAAAAGTGTTTACAAAGATATTGGTAGCACCAAATAGTGTATTGAAGTTCTCATTGTCAAATAACTTGATTTACCATATCACTTCTGTTGTGAATGATTAATGCATTACAGGAAGTTACCTGGAGTTCTAGTGAGATTGGTCGGTCGGTCGGTCTTCGACATAGAACTTTGCACACATGTGCGGCAGTTCAAGTCGCCACAATCCATGTAGCACGCAAAGCAAGAGAAGAAAGTAGAAGAAATGCATAATATAGACAGTAAACAGAGGTGTGAGACAAAGGAATAGTAATAACGGAGAACAAAACAGTTTAATTGGAAATCATAAGTCACAAGGAATGGATGCATCTGCGCCACTGAGAACGATTTTGAGCCATGTCACCAATTGTTTCCAACCATTGGTTTTTACCATCCCGAGGACCCCAACCAGGAAGTCTACATCTTCCTACGTGGCTTAGACTAACTGTTGTGGATTTCATGGACTGGTGCCATGTTCTCGTTTGACCGCCGCTAGCTCTTTTCCAGCCTGGCCCTATATCAGCTAACATTGCCCGTCGAGGAACGTTCTAGTGAGAAGTCGTGATCAGTGGTGTCTAACAAGTCAGGTATGTTAGGACAGTTACTCGCTGAGGATATGTGCTGGTGGTTGCGTCATATATAACGAATTGGTACAAAAGTTGGGATTCACGGACCATCGGATCGAGTCTCAGGAGCTGAATGGTCTAAGAGCTAACCTTGTAACCGGAAGGTCCTGAGTTCCCCCCCCCCAACTAGGTGGGTACTGCCGAAGAGTCCCAAACAAGGACGAAACCAATATTTGAACGTTGTTTTTATGCTAAATTTATACTAAAAGAGTATATGGGTGCTGTATACCATACAAGATTATCCTAACACGTGAGCTTAGCATAAAATGGGAGTAACTTACAAGATCTGTGATCCTGTTCAACAGATTTAAATTATGAGTTGACAATTCACCGACTAAGTTTTCGTAGGAATGAAGTTTATCAGTTGCTTCATTGAAGGAAATACATGAAATTCATAAAAACATACATACCACCGTTACACTTGTTTTCAGCGGGAGATTCAATACTGTCATTCTGAAAAAAAAAAGGAATAAAGAAAATGGTTCTGATTAATTTTTTTTTTTCATTAGATTTCCATCGGCTAAATGTATTCAGTTACTTTCCATTTTTGTACGACAGTCTTAAAAAAAATGTTGCAAAGTCATTATTTGTATGTTTATGCTTTATGTTATTGCTGGATAAGGCGTACGAACGTCGTACGTCAACGGTAATCACGGATACCTTCAGTCAGTCAACAACTATTGGATAATTTCCTCAGCGCTACTTGGCTGAGAACAAACTGATACAGTTGGAAGAGTTACATCCACACAACACAGAGACGCGTTCACAAAGTATGTAAACTACAAGTTAATAATAATAATAGTGACCGATAATAGCCCCTGTTATTTTAGAAACCAAGCTAAAAATCCCTCTGAGTAATGTAAAAGAAAAAATGTTCAACGAAGGGTTACCCTTTGCACACCTCTTGAAATGCTCACATATAACCGGGCGTCTTACATAGCCTCTCCTGAGGAAGTCCTACTCACTGCCTTCACGTGGCGGAGGTGTTTTTTCACCAAAGTGAGAGGGCGAAAGCGGATGCCCGGCGCTCTTCACCGGGTTGACTGTCCATTGGATGACAGTCTAGGGGAGATGGCTAAACCCTGATTCCAAACCTCCAACGACTGGCGTATGAAGCTCACTGGAGCTCACCGGCAGACGTATGGACAAAGGGCTTGTTGGATGTCTGGCCCCATTCAAAATGGCGTATGAACCGAAGTCCGGCCACCGGCTGCCAATGGATAGTAGACTCCCTACTCCACTCCTACTGCCTTGTAGGTCACACTTGGTTGTGTAAAGGCTAGAACTGCACTCTCAAACAAAAGGCCGAGCGATTCTGGGGACATCACTCGTACCTAATTCCCATGAAACTTCATGAACTCTCTTCATCAGATCGCCGCGCCTGGGCAGCGATGATTCGAGATGTTCATGAAGCCGGCTCATCCTCCCGTAGGAGATAGCCGAAGTAAAGTAAAGTAAGTACCCTTTGCAGCGATATCACTAACAATCTGTTCAATCGCATGTATATGTAGTAAATTGTCCTAGCAACAAAAGGAATGTATTCAAAAATGTGTCATTAGAGTTGTAAATTTTAGATAACAAATTATGTAATGTAGAAAGTGTCAGTCGGGTAGAAACTAAAATAAAATTGGATAAGCAAATTGAGTGACGTAATATAACTGATGGGGTTGGGTAGGATTCAGCTAAAATTTAACGAGTGTCAAGTTGACAATAGTAGTAATAGAGGGTAGGGGAAGAGAACGATACAATTAAGAAACAAAAATTACTTATTTGTTAAGACAGATCACGTCCATTATAGATTTAATGACTGAACATACTTCTTTTGTATGTGGAGTTTAGGAATTATCATGTGAATTCCCACTGCTTTTGCAGTTTGAAGAAATCTGATCCGTACTCCTTTAGCAAGATTCCGGCGTATTCTGTAGATGACTTTGAAGTTGGTTTGTGGGTTAGCTTGGCGTCCAGATTCGATCAGGTGTTCCAGGATAGAGTTGTGGGGTGGGGGGTTCTTTTCTCTTTATTTTAAATAGATGAAACTAGTTGGTTGCCTGCCTATACGATTATGAGAATCGTTATAGCAGGGTAATCCTAATTAGCTCACTTCAAAATCAGATATTGATCCCCAATCTCTATCTTAAAAGAAAATTGCCTGTAGTCAACGTCGAAGCTCACTATCTGTTTCCTGAGTTTGAGTGACGTGATAACATACATGAAATTACCACGTCCATCATTAATTAAACAAATATAAATGTTCCAACTTCGAAGGACTTTACTTACTTTACTTTACTTCGGCTATCTCCTACGGGAGGATGAGCCGGCTTCATGAACATCTCGAATCATCACTGCCCAGGCGCAGCGATCTGATGCAAGGTTTTGGTTGTAAGAGAGTTCATGAAGTTTCATGGGAATTTGGTACGAGTGATGTCCCCAGAATCGCTCGGCCTTTTGTTTGAGAGTGCAGCTCTAGCCTTTACACAACCAAGTGTGACCTACAAGGCAGTAGGAGTGGAGTAGGGAGTCCACTATCCATTGGCAGCCGGTGACCGGAGTTCGGTTCATACGCCTTTTTGAATGGGACCAGACATCCAGGACATCCAACAAGCCCTTTGTCCACACATCTGCCGGTGAGCTCCAGTGAGCTTCATACGCCAGTCGTTGGAATCAGGGTTTAGCCATCTCCCCTAGACTGTCATCCAATGGACAGTCAACCCGGTGAAGAGCGCCGGGCATCCGCTTCGCCCTCTCACTTTGGTGAAAAACACCTCCGCCACGTGAAAGCAGTGAGTAGGACTTCCTCAGGAGAGGCTATGTAAGACGCCCGGTCATATGGGAGCATTTCAAGAGGTGTGCGGAGGGGTGGCCAACCCGCAGCGCAAGGCACCCACCCCCGACCATCCTGAGGCTTTGGAGGCTTCGAAGGACTTGGGGCGGTCAGTAAAGTAGCTGCAGGCAGACTATGTGTCAAAGAGTGGTGTATGATTCACAGCCATCAGTGCTTGAAAAGATGTGGTACAACAAAGATCAAGCTTGGAAACACTCTGAAAATTTGATTACATAAGGCAATTAGTAGCAACTGTGATAATCTAAGACTCTTAAACTAATCAAGATTCAAATGAATTAATTTCACATCGGTAATATAGCGAATCACTTTTGTAGTAGTACTGAGAAAGGACACTGTGCAATAAGTCTTTCGTGCTAGTGATAAATGGTCGCCGCATGCACTGATCGAAGATTGAAAAGTTTTCTGAAAAGGGGATCATCCAATTTCCAACCATTTTATCAAATAGTTTCAACTGGTTCAATAGAGACTGTTTCTTTTCACTATTAACTAACTGTATGCAGTCTATATTCCACTTCATAAATGTGCCAGATTACTAGTTAAAAAGTGTATTAGGTGAGGCTATGTATTATTTTAGGTACACTACACTATAGGAGGTACTCCACAGTATTTGTTACCTCAAAAGCTAAAATGCCTTAATAAGTCTGACGTCTGATGTCCCCAGTCCCATTTTCCTTATTTTACAGATCATAACAAATTATTAAATGAACCTAATACTACAGACAACAGTACTTTGGGTCTTCACTTTTCCCCCAATCGAATCTTCAAGTTACTACCAAAGATCTTCTGTGATGCAAAGCAAGCGCGATCAAACTGTAAACCTACCTATGTGAATCAGTATTACCTGACGCATACATAAAAACCATGTCTAAGTTTCTCATTCATTGTTGGGGGTGATTTCAACCACATTTATAGGGAACGAAAGCAAATATCAAAAAACGACAGACTATGACTAACTTTAGATTCATGAAATTAAGAAAAATATGACACGTACTTTTGCATATAGTAGCACTTAACTCTAGAGGAGCAGTATTCTTACTCAGACCACCCAGTTCTCATAAATTATGAAAGCATAGTGAACAAGCTGGATTAACACTTTTGATCACATAATTTCAAGGGAAGGTCCGTATTCATTAGAATAAAACAGCAACTAAGTCCAGTAGAAATGTTTCACGATACACTAAGCTCTGCTCTATATTTGCCGTCAGCGCTTAAGATACCATACTGTAGTGCGAATAGAATTAGATGACTGAGGATATGAACCCAACATCTACTGACATAAAGAGATAATTATTCCTCGTAGTGCTTATTTTTAACTAAGGATACACCTATTTAGAGTTGTTGTCGCAAGTGACAAGAACTTTTGGAAAATTTTTTACTTCTGCTGATTTTGTGACGCCTTCAAATTCTTAATAACTAATTTTTAGAGTAGAAAACTCAGCACAAAATTTAATAATCTGCTTTTTAGATCCTATTGGGGAGGAACTAAGGCAGATAAAATTAATCACAATTGTTCAGGTAGGAAAACAGACGGGTGACTGACTGACCCAATATTTAGTCTCATGGAGACGTTTAGAACTCCACACAATTTCAAAACTACTTATTGCTTAATTAGTAACTGAACTGCCATTAGGAGACGACCAGTATATTCCCAAACAGCCCTATAAGAAGCAAAAATAGAGTGTTACTCATCAACTACTGGTGTTTACATGAGATCAGCCACACCTGTCATGAGATAACTAATGATACTGTGGTGAGAGCTGTCTGCAATCTAAAATTGTAGACAACAATTTACGTCAATGTTCACATTTAGAACCATGGTCATGAGAAAAACAATAACAAAGCCTAACTTTGAGAAAACCATCAGCCAATCACAGATGAGTTAAAGTGTGGAAATTGATTCACAGATATAAAACCTGATTTCCTGAGAAACGGCCACAAAGAGATAACAGAATAACCTTCAGCAAGAAAACAACCAATTAGAAGACGCTGCTTCTCTGCTAACAATAACGCTAATAATAATGCACATATATATATATATATATGGATTTTCTCAATAAACTATCTGTTGCCTGGCGCTTGTCCTCTGTCGTTACAATACTACCTAGCTGCCTCAATCAATGTAGGTGAAGTATGACGTGTAGTCATGACCTGGTGTTTAAAAAATTGAGCAACTATACCTAAGAGCAAGGATTTTTATAGTCTTCTAGAGTACAAGCATTGGAAGTACATGCATAACATAACTGATAGAATTCAGTCTGCACCGAAGATAGGACTAGACGCATTACACTAGTTACTGACTAGTGTGCAATCAAAAAAAAATATCCAATACAGTCCTACAAGAGGTCAGTCGCGAGCCTGAATAGCTCAGTGGTAACGTCTCTGACTGCAGCACTGGGTGACGCGGGTTCGAATCTCAGAAGGGACATCAGTTCCTTCAAGGTTGCAGATACGCCTTGCTGATGAGTGCCAACTAGCACGAAACCTAGGTCCAAGGCTTCCTGCCGATTGCCTCCAACCATCTAATACCAACAATTCACAGTGCACCGTAATGGCGAGCCACCTAGCATGGTGGCCACATTGCAAACATGACTGATAGAATTCAGTCTGCACCGAAGATAGGACTAGACGCATTACACTAGTTACTGACTAGTGTGCAATCAAAAAAAATAACATACTAAACTTATTGACTACAACAAAAATCCATGTAAAACCGGTAGTTATCATCCTATACTCTCTTAATATCTGATCAGTTCAGTGATGATGACTTATACAAAGATAGCTAAGTAAATACTACAACAGTGTGTGTAAAACAATGTCATTCTACACCTACAGCTCGATATTATTATGGGTACGAGATCTCAAGTTCTCGTAAAACGAATGAATTCACTCGTTTTACCAGAGGAATATAAAACGAAATACCTGATATGCCTAGAGAACTGCATTCATTCTTAACAAACAACCTGAAAATCAGTCAATCAACCACACGAATACGGAAATTATGACATATGTCATACAGGAAATACAACCCTCAGTATCCCAAGAGACCGTAACTATATTTTTATTATGAACACAATGATAGTGGTTAATCGTGAACCGATTCTGTGAAAAAGTAATGCAGAACAAAATGAGAAATCTGCAGAAAATCAATGTGTTTACTCTTGTGAGAGTAGTGTGGATACTATGCAGTTATTTGATTTCAAGAAAATTCAAATAAAATTCCCCGAAAATTACATACTAAATGCCAGAAAAGAGATAGTTAATTCACCACGTTCCTCAGTCCAGAATAACATGTAGTTCAAATGAAATTTCTCAATACCAATGGAACTTACGCAGAGACTCGCATGAGTTGTTTCAAAATGCAGCATGAGATATTCCGAATCCGGAAATGACTTCAGACAATCCGGACAAAGAAAGCCAGATACTTCTTAACGTTAGTAGTACATATCAAAACACCATATACCTTCAGATGACATATAGAAATCTAAGATGACCTTGACCTTGAGAACAAACAAAACCCCGCGGTTGTATTTTCGCAATAACAGACGTACAAAACAACAAATAGTACACTAGACAAAAACCACTGCTCAAAACTTCTAGCTAATGATAGATTCCCAACATTTCATACAAGCTTACGAGTTAAACTTCCTGTTAGGACTGAATACTTGCTGAAATTAGTTAGATATTTACTGGCATGTCTACATATCTCTTGCCGAGTCTTATTCCACTAATATTATATCCAGTTACCTCCAGATTTATTTTTTACTTCTCGTAAGAAGTAAATTCCTCAGATAACTTGGTGAAACATGTTTGCTGTTCTTATGCAAAAACAGAGAAATTATTTAGCTCTCCATAACTGTGCGTTAAAGAACACCACTGGATAATATTAATATGGTGTAGCGGTAAATAATTCCCCAGAATTATTGACCACAGCAATCACCACTCAACATTGGATGCTGACCCTCACTGTTTAAGTCGACTTGTTTAGCTGAAGGCTTCCGGTCAAGCATCCATGCCATTTGGTACTCCGTCGTGTCATGTGCGTGCACGATTACTAGCTAGCTAAGCATTCACTTCAATCCGCGATTTGGTCCCAAAATATATTACGTACTTTGGAGAACTAAATCTGGTCTTTTGCTTTATCTTTGGTACTAGAAGAGCGAACACTATAGAAGTTATTGATATAAGATCTTGCGTTAGTATACTCCGTACAGTTCGCGAACGTCGATACCTCCAGTCTCAAAATTTGTTTATTCTCTAACTGGTGCCTTATATCTGAATGAAGTTATTTCTGGGTAAAAATCATTCAAATGAGTCCTAATCTGACAACGCCTAAATGACAACATGCTTAGGAACGATGATTAAGTTGTTACATATAAGCTGAGATTTTGTAAATTATGGTTTAATAATACTTTGATAAAGCTGTTAGCATTAAATAGAGGAACATCAGTGGAAACAATATCGTTTTCGTTTTCACTCATTAAGAAATACAAATTACCTTTATTACAATAAGTCCTAAGAAGTTGATTTTTTCTTCATTAGTTTATTTCAAATAATTTCCTAGTCTGTAAAGAATCGAAAGGAGAGTTTCTTCTAAATGGGATTCTTGCGAGTCATAGCTTTTCCGAATGAATTGCTTGGATGTGTTATAAGTCAAAATACCATTAGACTGGATGTTAATGTAATCGGTAAATTTAAAATGCAGGGACTACACTCATGAAGGAACATTTCTCTGATATTTGTTCAGATTCGGATGAGGAACTGAATAGCCAATCCCAATTTCTTAGTAGTCGTGACGTGATCACCCGATAGCCTACATGGACGACTTTACCAATAGTCTTTGAGGCGCTGCAATATTGATTACAACACACTTAACTGGTCCTTGTCACAATATTCTGGTAGATCTTAAAGGCATACCCGAAATAGGATTGTGTAAGTTTGTGCAAATAGTATTTGATCTTCCAAATACCGTACAGACCTTCCAAAGATTGATGCGCAGCTTGTTGCTTGAAATGTCATTTTTCGAAACGTACATAGGTGATCTATTCATCTCTGATCCAGACATAAACACACATCAATAAAGGCGGTATATATGCCCAAGAACCTAGGTTCCCAACCCATGAGTGAGTGAGATGCTATATAAAACAACTCTATCTGCCATGCGAAGGGCGTTTCACAGTCACAACAAGGTAGTTGAGACACATGGCGATTCAACGGAATGACATCACGGACAGTATTAGTATACACAGACTGAAACTAGCCTATCTAGAAAATGCTCCACCGCTCCAATGTGTATGTAGAAAGGCTTCCAAAAGTTATAGCCAACATAGTGTGTGCTAACATGACAACTGCTGAGACCAGTGAGCGTATTGAATGGGCGAAATCTACGACTCATCAAGTCTTCAGCAAAAGCATGGAATTACTAATAGGCAATGTGTGTAAACACAAATGTATAAGCTCGATGTACATCACTCAGTGTCTTGTAGGAAACCCCCTGATGGAAAATTAATTAGCATGATTCATTTCTGTCTCTGCTGCACCTCTTCATCAGGCGTGGTATTAGTGTATTTATGAAGGGATCCTGTCTTCGGAACATCATATAAACTGTATTTCAGATAGTAATAGTAAATATCAGCCTCAATAATAAAACGAAGCCCATTTCCAGGACGAAAACTATCTAGTCATATTGTAACAACAGAAGACGAGGGCCAGGCAACAGATCGTTTATTATGGAAAATCAACACGTATTTATAGATTTTTATGTACATTATTGTAGGTCAATGTTAGTGGAAAATACAGTCTGTTGATTGGTTGCTTCTCACACAAAGTTAACCTTGCATATCTTGTGGCTGTGTCAGTTCAACTATATGTTAACTGTATTCGCCTGTCCACCTTGACCTTTGACCTCAATTACTGTAAACCAATTTGGCTAGCGATCATCTTTCACCACAATATCACCACAATATGAAACGCAGATTAATAATGCCATCAAACAGCCTGTCCAATCACAGTGTCGGTCAACCGGAAGAGAGGGCTCTCGAGTGGTTGCGCTACATGATGGTCTCGTCTTGAAAGAAGCAGGTGTTGGTGTGTTCTTTTCTCCTGGAAACAAATACCCAGTCAATGGGTGTACCATTACGTGAATAAAAGTAAAAGCCGCATGGAACTAGTTTTAAACAACAGGTAACTGAGTGTTTCATCCCTTAGTCTCTCTCAAAAGGCAGAAAACATTGTCCACCTTGGATAAACCGAGAGATTCGTAAGTTACTCAAACGTGCCACACCTCAGACTCCTGAGACCAGAAAGTTATGCAACACCGCTAGGAACAAACCTATTTTAGAAATATTCCAATAAAGGATGAAGTTCAAAGCACATCTGGCTCAAAACACAATCACACAACCTAAGAAAATTTTCTCGTTCATGAACTTCAGAAATAAGACATCCAATGTTGTCCCAAATCTCACTATTGACGATGGCTCAACCGAAGAAGAAAAAGCAGAACTGTCAGGCCACTTCTCCCAAGTCTTTATACAGGGCCCACCAATCCCCATAGGACCAGCTCTGACTTCAACAGAGGAACACGGGATAGATTCCGTTGACGTCAACCAAGACATAGTGCCCAAATGCCTAAAGAAACTAGATGCAGGGAAATCAATGGGTCCTGACAATCTTCACCCAACGCTTCTCAAGGAGCTATCAGCTCACATAGCCGGCTCACTGACCAGATCTTCAAGCCACCTATCCTAAATGAAATGTTACTGCGTCACTGGATAGACGCCGTAGTAACGCCTATGCGCAAAGGAGCATCACACTAACCCCTTCAAACTACAGGCCTGTTAGTCTCACCAGCAATTTAATCAAGACGTTGGAAAAATCATCAAGAAAAGTATCATGGAATATCTGGAAAACTACAATTTGTTATGAAGAACACAGCATGGTTTCCGACGAAACCTCTCATGCCTGTCAAATATCCTCACTGCTAGAGAAACCCGGGTCGAATCGAATACCCGTTGACGTGGTCCTCATAGACCTCTCGTAGCGGTACGTCCAACGTTTGCGTTACATTTTTGCGTGATTCGTTACATAAAATTTATCTTGTTGTAATCCTTGCACAAGTACTCTACTACTTCCATACCCATAACTATTAACACTCATATCAAATAGTTATGGTTAACCAAAGTAAAAAGCAGCGAACTCAATCCCCTGTAAAACTGATGACTAATTTTAAGTCGTTGATTGCTACATCGAGCAACACACTTCCTACAAATGGTTATAGTGAGCCACAAAACTCACTTGTATGTCGTAAGCGTCGAGCTGAAACTGAGGATAAAACTATGCTGACAGCTAGTATTAGCACTACTCCCAAATATTCAGTACCCTCTGCTCATACAGAAACCCTCCCTACACCTTATGTGCTTATCGAAAAGCTCCAGCCTTCAAGCTCTGTTTCAGTACTATCTTCAGAAATAGAACTTCTAAAGTTGTCTATAGGAGAACTTAAGGCCGAGTTAAGGGACTTAAAAAACAATAAGTCAGTAGATCCTGGAATTTCTGATGCCAATACCAAAATATCCAAATTATCAGATCAGATCAGTGATATCAGATCGCAGGTCTGTGAACTGACACCTTTAACCATTCTCATGAAAACTGTAGACCTTAACAAACTTGACAGTGAATCGATATCTAAGGTGGATAACCTAATTAACTTTGTTACTACAGAAGTAACAAAACGACTCGGTGCTAAACTAAATGCTATTGTCTACAACGTTCCGGATAATGAGGCACTAAAAAGGGTACAGCGCATCCTACTTAGTGAGGTGAAAATGCCCAACTCCAAGACTAAGTGCTACAGGCTGAAGAAGAGTCAACATGAAAAGTGTTGTCCTATTCGTTTTCAGTTCGAAACACCGGCAGAGGCCAGAAAACTCATCTACTCCCAACACACCCTATCGCAAGTCAGAAATTAAAAACTAATAAAGGTTGCAGTGGACAAGACAGTCATAGAAAGGCACGCATACAATTATCTCACTAAGCCTAATTGTGGAATAAACAATAGGACATTGCAAGCAGCAATTATACCCAACCCTATGAGAGATACCGTAGAATCCACCGCACCACCCCTCTCAAACCACACAGAATTATCCTCTCAGAGAGAGACACCAACCGCAAGGCTACTAAATTGCAATGAAATAGCCTATAAAACTACACCGACTATCACCGTAGATATAGACATGTCAACAAATAATCCCGGAAAAAAAGTCGAAATCCCCCGAAAGTCGGCCCTGTCCTCTCCTGTCCATAAGTCAATTGGTAAAAAAAGGAGAATATGACCCCAAATCATGCTAACAACAAAAATGGCGGTATAAATAAGCCCACATCTCCCACGGTCAATAGTATTGGCACCCAAGATGTGCGAAATAGCACCATGGCCCACACTGATAACCAACGCCACAACAATGCCTCCCTCAATAGTACTCGTGGCAATAGTCAGAACTCGACCACCAACAACTCAGGGTATCCACAGTATG